GGCTGCTGGCAGGAGCCAATGGGGCTGTGCCAAAGTTGCTGACCCTAAGAGGAACAAGAGGCCTGGGGGATGTTACAACACTGTCAACTCACCCACAGAGCAACCAGCACCCCCCCACACTTGGGCCTGGGTGTGTGCTGTTGCTTCTCCCTATCACTTCCTCTCTCTGATTCCTTGTCTTTGTAAGCAGAACTCCTGCTCTCCATCCCGCTCCATCAAACCTTCAGTCCTATCTGACTTCTAACTGCCTCTTGTCCCCCAGACTGTACCTCTTTGTCGTATTCTGTTTATTCCATCTCTATGCTTTGGATAGAAGTGCATGTTGGAGACAATTCCCAGGTTGTAATCTAAGACCTGACGACACATTTATTGTGCATCTATTTTGAGCCAGTCTCTTCTCCTCTACCTCTTTGCCTATAGGAAAAAACTGTGAAACCTCACCTCTGAGGGCTGTTATGAGAATCAGCAGTCCCGGAGACATGAAACGCCTCAATCTGGTGTCATTTTCTTTCTTTTTTAAAAAAATTTGTTATTAATTTCAGAGAGGAAGGGAGAGATAGAAACATTAATGATGAGAGAGAATCATTGATCAGGCACCTCCTGCAATCCCCGCACTACAGATGGAGCCCACAACCCAGGCATGTACCTTGACCAGAAATTGAACAATCACCTCTGGGCTCATAGGTCAACACTCAACCACTGAGCCACGCCGGCTGAAAATCTGGTGTCATTTTCTGACCCGATGAAGGCATGTGTATGAGAGACATGTGGTGGGAAGGGCTGTTTGGAGGCCCCATGTGTATCCGCTAAGCCTCCAAGGTACTAATTTGGAAGCTATAGTGCATCCTTGGTTGAATGGCAGATGAGCACAGACAAAAGGATGCAGGGATGGTGGGTCTCAGCCTGGATCATAGACTCAGCCCAAGTCAGGAGTGAAGGTGAAAATTTAATGAGTAGGTTGGTCCCTAAGCACTAAAGCACTTAGGGCACCTCTGACCTGGTGGGAGTCCTGCTCCCATAAAACCCCAAGGACACCAGCGGTGCAACCTCTAAGGTATAAGGGAGCTGTAGGGAACCACACGTGTTTCACTTTCATTTCTTTTATTGAAGCAACAGTCACATAACATACAATTAAAATATGAAATTCACTAGAATGCAGTAAATACAAAATGCCTCAATGACAACGTCTGTCTTGTTTCAAGAAGGTTTTAAACTCCCTTAACCGTCCTCCCCCCGCCCCCCATCAAAAAGAAAAAGTAAAAACTAAAACTAAAACTGTCGGTCTCTCACCTGTCTTCCTGGTCAACCACAGTCAGACCAATCTGATTTATGTTTCTATGGGTTTCCTTCTCCTGGACATTTTGCATAAATGGAATCATACAAAACCTGATTCCATTTTGTGTCCAGTTTCTGTCACTCAGCTGCATTATTATGATGTTTTCCCACAATGTACCAGGTCCCTGTCCTTTGTTCTTTATGGTTTAAAAAATCGCATGGTTGTGAAGATACATCGTTTTGTTGGGATGGATGTGACCCAGCATGAAGGGGTGTATAGATGTGAATCTGAACCAACCATGTGGGACGGACCCTCATGTCACAGGGTGAGAACAGAAGGGCAGTGAAGGAGAGTGAACGAGGTCAGGGAAGGAGGGAGAGCACCCCAGGTGGATGCAGGAGGCGACCTCTACAGGGACATGGCCCACGTTCTCCTGCACTCAAACTTCACCTACCACGTCTTCTCTCCTGGACCTTTTCAGCAGACAGTTTCTCCAACTGTGGTATGGTTCTCTTTCAGCACCTCCAGGCATCATCAGATGGGCTCCAAGGCTTCCGCACTCTGAACAGTGCATTGTTCCCTCTGTGTTCTCATCTGGCTGCATCGATGGCCCCTTTGTTGTCATTTTGAGCCTGAAATAGCAGCACCCCGAGCCCCAATAGGATCAATCCAGCCACGCCCATCCGGATGAGATTCTCCACTGTGTAGTCTTGGGGTGTAGAGACTGGAAAATGTGGATACAAAGGTCACAAAGGTCAAGGCAGACCCAAATCTCCAGGATTTTGATGTTCAGCCTGGACTCCCACCTCCCATTGATATCAGCATCCCTATGATGACTGAACTCAGCACCTGCTCTGAGTCACCCTGATAAGAGATAGCTGTGCCCAAGAACTGAGGATGAGTGAAGTAATGGTCTCAATTTAGAAATAACTAAGAGCTATGTGTTCTGTGTTTAGCTTGAGACTCAAGACCCCATGAGTTTATTCCCCTACAGCTGAGAGATCCCCGTTCTCAACAGCTGGGGACCCAGGGTCCATGGAGGAGGGGTTGGTGTCAGGGGCTCCAGAATCTCAAGAGCATGAAGGGGTGAAAGTCTGGACTATGTCTCCTTTATCCCACCCTACCCAGGCCCCTCCTCTCAGGGTG